TATAAAATATTAATGTTTGGAGCATCACAACTTACCATTAGCGTCGACATCGAAGGTGACTTCGATTTGCAGTACGCCCCCAGGCGCCGGAGGTATACCCGTCAGCTCGAATTTGCCGAGAATGTTGTTATCTTTCGTCATCGCTCTCTCTCCTTCGTAAACCTCGAAAAACACTCCCGGTTGATTGTCGGAGTCCGTGGTGAACGTCTGGGTCTGTTTCGTTGGTATTGTTGTGTTCCTCTTGATCACAGCAGTCATGACGCCACCGGCAGCAGGTCTCGAAAGTAAAGAGCCTATAGAATAGTCTGTATGTGTCCAAAGTAAAAAACCGGGAAGAAAATGGAATTCGGCGTTCTCGTCCCGGGGATCCGAGCTCGGTCCCGTGCCTTGGCCTCCCACGGATCTTCCTTGCTGCTGCGAGGCTTCCGCGGTCTTGAACGTCTGGGTCTGTTTCGTTGGTATTGTTGTATTCCTCTTGATCAAGGCAGTCATGACGCCACCGGCGGTCTCGATACCCAACGACAACGGAGTCACGTCCAGCAAAAGCAGATCTTGGACCTCCTCGGACTTGTCTCCATGCAGAATTGCCGCCTGAACTGCCGCGCCATAGGCAACAGCCTCGTCCGGATTGATAGACTTGTTCAGTTCCTTGCCGTTGAAGAAATCTTGAAGTAACTTCTGAATCTTTGGTATCCTAGTAGAACCACCGACTAGAACAATGCTGTGAACTTGAGCTTTGTCCATCTTCGCGTCCCTGAGCGCCTTCTCTACAGGCTCAAGGGTGCTTCTGAACATATCTGCGCAGAGTTCTTCGAACCTAGCCCTAGTAATGGAAGTGTAGAAGTCGATACCCTCGAACAACAAGTCGATCTCAATGCTCGCCTGCGTTGACGAGCTCAACGTTCTCTTTGCCCTCTCGCAGGCGATCCTCAAGCGTCTCAGAGCCCTTTTGTTGGGTCTCAGGTCCTTCTTGTACTTCCTCTTGAATTCCTGCACGAAGTGGGTCACCATTTGATTGTCGAAGTCTTCGCCGCCGAGATGCGTGTCGCCGGAGGTGGATTTAACCTTGAAGATGCCGTCCTCGATCGTCAGAATCGACACGTCAAAGGTACCACCGCCCAAGTCGAAGATCAGGACGTTCTGCTCGCCCACACCCTTCTTATCGAGACCGTAGGCTATCGCAGCGGCCGTAGGCTCGTTTATTATCATGAGGACGCACAGGCCAGCGATAGTGCCGGCGTCCATTGTCGCCCGCCTCTGAGAGTCATTGAAATAAGCTGGCACGGTAATGACGGCGTTTGTTATTGTCTTGCCCAGGTACGCCTCCGCGGTCTCCTTCATCTTTGTCAGAACCATGGAGGACACCTCCTCGGGGAAGAAGGTCTTCATCTCGCCCTTGTAGGA